GATGGTTGTTCTGTAGTTTAGTTGTAATTTTGACGTGGTTGTGAGAGGAGGCCAGCACAGCATTTGCCTTAGTCCATCATCTTGAGACCAGAAGCCTATAGTGTTGGATAAATGAATTCCCACTTGCCTCATTTATCCAGAATAATAAAGGAATGGGAATTTGGAGTATTTTAATATGAAGTTAACCTACAGGTAAAATGTATTAATCTTTACCAAGGTGTTCTCTGTGGAATACCAGCCCTGTGGTATGGTCTTCAAAAAAAGTTAATTGGATGCATAAGTTTGGGAAGGGCTGCATGTTATATCCTCCTGTTGGAGATACATGATGTTAATATTTTGAAGGCTCTGTAAAACCCTATAGTAAAGGAACCTTGTTTACCTTTGTATAACCTAGTGTGTAAATCAGAATTCTTGTAATCACAATTGCTCAAGTGAAAAAGGGAATTTGTTGGTTTAGGCAATTGAACAATTTAGAGCTTTATTTGTGGGCTTTAGGTACGGGGACTTGAATACTGTGTTAGGAGCTCGATCTTCATCTTTTGTTTTTTTTCTTCTATATTGCCTTAGGCAGGACCTCTTCATGTGGTAGTTTCTAGCAGTTCTGAGTTTACAACATCCTTTTATCTAAAGGGTTTCTCCTTTCCCTGTGTTAGCAACCTGTGTTAGCCAGGTTGATGGATACTCAGATATCCTTTCTAGCAAACATCCCTGAATTGAATCTTTCTTGCCTGGCTTGAGTCTCATGCTGATCTCTGAACTAATCACCATGGCCAGAGAGATAGAAAATACTCATTGTCCAGGCCTGAATCAGGGTCCACCCCTGGCCTAAGCAGTGTGTATGTGTGGGGTCAATCTCATGTGAACTACATGAACTGTGTGGGAGAGTTGGGGGTGGGGTTGGTCCCCAAAGGGAAATTGAGGTGTAGTTTTCAGGGAAGGGAGGGATGAATGCTGAGCAGGCAGAAACAACAATTTCCAATTCTGACAACAGAGTGCTTTTATTGTGTAAAACCTACTGGAATACACATGAAGAAATACCGCCAAGTACGCATATCATACATTTTTTCAAATAAATTTAGAATACAATAAAATACACATGCATGCAAACATGTGTTTGAACCATTATTTAATGATTCAGAAACCTTAATGGATCTTGCAGTGCCTCAGGGTCAACTCTGTTGAAAGATACTGGTCACTGATGGTTGAGATTGTTTGGTGTCTTGATAAATGGGAGGTTATGGCACAACCAGAGTGCAGGGCACAGGGACCCTAGAAAAGTTCATTGACTGGACACCTATACACAGTGGACACCATTGTGTATATCCTGTGTTGTGTTCTCTTGAATTCTGACAGCACCAGTACATGCCATCTCACTTTGTCTGCACACAACCCTCTCTGTTATCTTCATGTTCAAGTGGAGAATTGATGCTCACAGAGGTTAAGCAACTTGGCAAATTCTTCACAGGCTTTCTCAGAGCTTGCTCTCAGGTGGTTATCTTGAGTATCTTTACTCTAATATGGAAGGCCTATGCAAGTGAAGAAATTCAGCTTGAGTGAATGGTCCATGGACCTGGCGCCTGCTCTGTGCCCTGGCACTGTGGCATGCTGAGCTCCAGCTATGGGACGGAGCTACTTGGATGACTGAACAACTACATCATCCTTTAACTGACCTCAGCTAAGTCATTTCCTGGCCCTTTCATTGCTATTTTAAAAAAAGTATGGTGGCGACTGGGGAAAAGAAGAGCAAGCCCATAATACACTTCATTACCACACTCCTTGCCTTGGCCATTAAACTTTTCCTAGAGTTGTTCATTTGCTAACTAAGTTGTTCACAGCTTGTCTACTATCCTTCATGGGATTTGTAACGAGGTCAACCCTCACCATCATAAAGACCTGGAGGAGGGCTGTTTATGTCATCTTGGAGAAGGAGGCAGATTTCCCAGGCATGCTTTCTGGTCTATATGATGACTATGCAATCTCTCAGGCCCTGCTAAACATTCTGTTTAAACGAACATTAT